ATTCATGGATAAGCAGAATCCGATAAAATATTGGAGCAAAAGCATCTGTACCATAAAATAGTAATCTCAAACTGAGTACCAGGAAAAGTGATCTCAAACGATCGGGCGTGTTAAAGCGCCCTACCCTCAGGAACTTCAGGTTCCTGAGAAGACAAATTCGATAGTAGAAGTGGCAGTACAGTCGCATTTAGTTACTGCTTTGCCTTGAGCCCGATAAATTTGATGCCCTTGTAGAAACGGGTTGCAAATAGGGAAACCTAGCCCAAGCAGCTGCAATGTGAACCGTGGATTTGGTCAGTCGACAGGCTAATAACAACCCTATCAAGAGGAAAGGAAATTGCCTGAGAGAGCCTTTTTCTGAGAGAAAATACAGAAACTTAGGCGCCGTTCCGCTTGGTGTGGGCAACAGATAGCACCTTCAGATTGCAGAGGTCACATTTTGGTGGCCTGTAAATATCTGTGACCAAAACGGCTAACACGGATAACTTCGCAGCTTCACAGAAGTTTACAGGTCTCCCCAATTTGACGCATGTTTGATAAAACGATCTAATAAAAGGACCTATATGCCCCTTCTAAGCCGAAAAGCGCCCTAATTTTAGTAAACGATACCTCAACGTTTTGCGACTTTCTGCTACTAACTACTACAGATGCTCCATCAGCTCCCAGCCGCTTCGCAATAGCGAATCCAATACCCTAAAAATTCGGAATATTGTAGGGATCTTCCTCACTTCAACACAAACAGAGAAGAATTTCCAAAAGAAGCAATCAAACCTTAGTTGAGGCAGACACAATAGCCACACGATCAGTAAGGAACTTTGCTGTCGTAAGAGCTGTCATTCTGAAATAACCCACGGTACTCATGAGTGACAAACTGATCGTAAAGAAAAGTGCCATGTTCAAAACTAGAACTGAACCGGAAGAACTGTGCGAGAGACTGATTAATAGCAAACCCTTCCGCCTACTGATGAGAATTACTTCGCACAACTTCCACTCACTGCACAAAACCCCTACCCAGGCCCACATGATTTTCGATCAGAATCTGCCTAATCATTTTGAAACTGCAGACATGTTTTTCACGCGTGAAGCGTTCCGGATTTTAATAGTACTTTGCTGAGCGGTCACGAGTTTAGTTTTGCAGACGAACATTCCCTTGACCTGTTGTTTTTCTATTGTACCCACCATCTAACTTCGATGCGGACTCATTACCACCTAAGGTCACGAGTTAAAAAATGTGAGTTCTGCGGCAAAAATGCTAATAATGATGGTAAAAAGCACAAAAGTGAAGAAAACCATAGAAAAATCCGTCCGAAACGTCTCTATAGAACCCCATGACGAAAAGCGCTTGTACGTACATAAGGCGAAGAAAGGGCGCGGTCGGACGAGTTCCCACTTGTTGGCGCCAGCTCTCTCTCTCTCTCTCTCTCAGCTTACTCTATCAGCTACTCTCACCAAAAATGAGAGTGTTAGTAGCGGAACAACCGCACAATCAGGAAGCCTTAAAAATGGGAAGCTGGGCGTTCTCGGGGGCAGTGCGCTGAGCCGCTTCTCGTAAGCGAACGAGTCGCGCTTTCCTCAGTTTTCTTTTACTTGAGCTGTGAAAGAGTCCTTTTTTTTTTTTTTTTTTTTTTTTTTTTTTTTTTTTTTTTTTTTTTTTTTTTTTTTTTTTTTTTTTTTTTTTTTTTTTTTTTTTTTTTTTAATCCCCTACGCTTGCGAACAAGACTATCATATCCAAAAAGGGGCTGCGCATCAACAGAGCGCGCGGCCTGCCTTTAAGATGGCACATCCTTAGCGAAGAATAAGCAATAGACGAATATTCCAAGTATGTGCGTTCGGGAACATTAGTAACATCCAGATGGTTAGGAGCAGAACGATTACGAAGCTTTTCGACAGTTCCAAAGTATAGGCAAAAAGGGAAGACTTGAGGGATCCTTTCAAAATAGGCCCACGAGCCTAATTAAACCTGATAGAGGTTGGGATACTTGAACACATACTAATTTTGCCCAGCCCGGGCCTTCTTTACTTGGACAAACCTATCACTACTCTCCACAGAAAACCAGTCAACCAGTTCCCCCCGCCCCCTCCATCCCGTCCCTCCTGTCCTCTAGTACTAAAGTATTATGGTGAATATCTCAAATCCCATAACGTGAGCACGTAAATGGGCTGCAAAAGATCGCGCAGTTCATCTCGAGGTTGACATTTGAACATTCAAGCAATTTGAATTAGCAGAGTCCAGTGTATTCAGAGACGTGTAGCATTAGTGATTCGAGAAGCCCGCCTGAGACTGCGGTGTTCCGCGCTCAGACATCACCCCATATAAATATGCAAGCGAACACTATTCGTAAGCTCTAAAAACGAAGGTGAGCCGTAGGAGTGGTGTGAATTGTGAGGCACGGTTACATTTTTAGACACCTGGAAACCATTTCAAGTTAAATGAATCTTTACGAAGATTATCGAGTCCTAGAAAGAGCATAGCATCAAATGGAAGGAAAGCCTTAAAAGTTCATGGTTTTTACTGGCATACTTTAGGCCGCATGAAAAATGGTAGGTTACAAGTAATTCGCCGCGCTAGTATGACGGCGCAATCGGATACACTCTCGCTGCGAAGGTCCAGGGATATTTTCTCATCGCATCTTCTGACCAAGCATTTGGAGGGACAGAATCCTGGAACGGCGCAATTTCGTAGTCTCGCGAACTCTGCAACGGAGGAAACGCCACGCGTATTGCCGCACGATCGCCGCGCATGACGGCACGGCAAGTTGCGCTTGTCCTGACGTATGGGCGAAAATGCGAGAAGAAAGAATTAAGAGTTCATCTTTACGTTCCGATGAACATCACAAAGCGCTCTAAAACCTAAGGAACAATTGGTTTCTACAGCACAACGTAGGAATATGTTCATGAAGACTCCCAAGACATTTTTACAGTTACACAGTTCAAAAGAAACTCAAAGAGAAAGGGAAGTCAATGGAGGCGTTCGCAATAAGAAGTTACCCCAGAGAGGAGCAGTGAGAGCCAGCTATACGACAATCAACCGCCCAAAAATCAGATGCAATGGAGCAGACATTTCCGACGGGGCCGAGCGGGAGTGGGTCTGATTCTTCTCAGTGAGATTGAGAGTGAGAGTGCTAAACTTTGTCAAGCCTGTGTCTTGGTCAGAAAATGACTCACATGTGGGGTGAGGTGACTGCCGAGAATCTTATCGAGAACGGTAATTGGTACGACGTCTTTTTCTTCGCACCTAATTAAGGGCGACTCGTATCTAGGAATGAGGACAGGCTAACAGGTACTGTGCTAGGTACTCCTACCAATTATGATTGGTCCCAAACCATGGGCTCAGCGAACGGTCAAACACAGAAGGAATTCAGTGCGGATTGGAGAACCTTCCAATCTGTCAGGAAGATAAAAACACTGACCATATTGTTTAATTACTTCTGCCAAACTGTATTAGTGAAAGTGCTGACTGTATTAGTCAAACTGCATGGTGGTAAGATTCATGATGTAAGCAGATGTCATGGCGCATACGAAAACTGTACCAACGCTGGGTACTTTATTTTTTCCACTTCAAAGGCACCACTATCAGGGAGTATGCAGTAGATTGGACAGATTCAACACTTGGCTGGAAGGAGCATACGCGTCCCAAATGTGTTAGCTAGAAGACAGGTCCGAATGGGTGAGTTTAGTACAGGCTTGATCGCTGGGATGAAGGGGCGTGTCAGGCGGGATGGTTTGACACATCGCCAGCCGTTCTCCACCACTTGTTGAAGCGGGCATTCAACAACAGTCGGTGGAAAACGACTGATACGAGCCATATGATAGTCTTGCCGTTTGCTCGCTTCAACAATTGGTGGAAAAAGTGTTTGATGTCGCGCCAAACCCATACCGCCTGACACGCCCCACCATCTGCAGCGAACGAGAGTGTCGACACGTTCAAACTGAGTGGGCTGAAAAATGCAGGAATGACAAATTCCTGCATTTTTCAATCTAATTTAAGTACTCAGGAATAGAAAAAAGTTTGGTGACGATGTGGAACATGGAA